CTACTTGCAGCCTCCCTCTCCCTTCAAGTGTGTCCAACTCGCCCCACATCTTAGTGTCATCAGCAAACTTGGACAGCGTGCTTTCCACCCCCTTGTCCAAGTCACTGATAAAGATGTTAAACAGTGCGGGCCCGAGGACCAAGCCCTGGGGTACCCCACTGCTCACATCTCGCCAGGTTGCCTACAACCTATCCACCACTACTCTCTGGGTGCACCCCATCAGCCAATTTTTTACCCATCCAACTGTGTAGGCATCAATGCCACAGTTGCTTAATTTATTGATGAGGATGGAGCGAGAGACAGTGTCAAAGGCCTTCTTAAAACTGATGCTCAGTAAGTCTCTGTAGCACACAGTAAAAATAGTTCACACAGGCTGTAGAACCACCTCTGAATTTGTACAATGCATGCTTATGGTCAGAACTGTCAGGCTTTGAAGAATTTATGTACTTTTCCAACCATCCCAAAAAGGCAGTAAATCTAGATTATGTATTGAAATTGCTCAGGGACACTGGGTATTTCTACCTCGGAAGACCAAACTATTTTACTGCCCTATTCCATTTTTCACATTCTTTTACTAAGAGCTAATCTTTTTCATTTGTGGCTGTTTGTATTTTACAATCCAGGTTGCTCATTTCTAATCAAAATGGGAATCTCAGCAGTTCAATGTACCTGGTGGCATTGGTCTCCTGAACCATTACTGCCTTGCTCCAGGCAGGGACAGTGACAGCATCTGGGTTCTCCCTCCCTGCATTTGCTTGGGACTGGTAGGGAACACCTGGGAGAAGTGGTCAGAGAGGAGTAACCAGCCAGCTGCTGCTGCTGCTGGTCCTGGCTGGAGTGGCTCTGGAGCATCTCCCCCCACGCCAGATCAGCCAAGGACAGCAGCAACAGTGAGCAGGAAAGGGGGCAGAAAAGGGATGTGCTGCTGAGTATGGAGGAGAAGGGGTTGGGTGCCAAGAGTGGGAGGGAGTTTGTGGGGGGCAGGGTTTTTACCTGAATGGCTCCCATTTCTGCCAGCTCCAGTGGGAGGAAACCTGGGACTGAGGGTTTGGATCATAGAGTCCTAGCTTCATTCTAGAGCATCCCCTTGCCCTGCATGTATGGAGGTTGGGGGGTGAGGAGCAGTGTCTAGAGGACTGACCAGGCACCAGGCATGGTGTGCTCTGTGCCCCAGCATAATACTGAACATGTTCAGGGACCGGCTCCAAATAGTACATGATTTTCCTGGTGTGCTCTTGAAATGTTCCAGGCAGTTCAAGCTGGTTAAAAGTGTCCTGTGAATCTGGACTCTTGGGGCACCTATACATGAGCAGTGAGGCTACTCCAGTGTGCTGTACTTATAGTGTGTCAGAGCAGACTCAATTAATTGAGCCTGGAGCTTGGTAATTACCACACTCCAGCAAACTGCAGCATCTCATGTATCAGTGTCACCGCACTTAAAAATGGCAGCAGGGTCATTTTAACTAAAGGTCATTTGAAGGGCTTTAATTAAAGCACCCCCATTTTTAAGAACAGGGACACTAAAACACACAACACTCTGGGTGCTTTAATTAGAGTGGCTCTTGGAGCTGCTCCAGTGAAAGCGTCCCTGCTGCTGCACCCCCTCCCCCCCGAACACATGTATAAACTCCCTTAAGGGCTTAAAGCATATTTAGAACATTCTCAGTGTTACATCTACCCACCCTTAGCGATACTCTCTGTTGTCTTCCCCAAGAGTCGGGGGAAGGAGCACATTCCTTTAGATTTGGAACTCATTAGAAATGGCCAAAATTCTTTTGGATTTATGTTGAAATCACATCAAAATATAAAGGACATGAAGTTTCAATGCATCACATTAAATCAAACCCAAATACATTCAGAAAGTGGGGGGGGAGAGAGAGAGAGAGAGTTTTCAATTAATTTAGGCCCAATTGCAAACAGGTAACAAACCTGAAATCAGGCAAATTTTGTGTGGTTTCAGGTTTTGTTATAAGAATGTCACAGTGCTTTAGTCCTCATTCTCCTAGGCTCGTTACATGTTGAATAGAACTTCCCCAAAAGCAAGATGTTAACCCTGGCCTCCTCTCTGAGCAGAATGCACCAGCCAAGTAAGGCCATCCCTACTGTGTTGCAAAAGTAATGTAATCTAATGATCATAAGCATATACATCCTCCACAGAGAAAGGGAAAGCACAATAGGAGCTAAAAGCACTTTCCTTCTGGGAAAGATACAAACTGGCTCTTTCAGCTTGTCTCAGATTCAAAGGGCCAGTTACTATAACAGAGCATCCAGGGAAAGGCTTCTCTCTTTTCCTAGTGCTAATTCTCCACCCCTCTCCTCTATTAATGAAGCCAGTTTCAATTACCCATTGAGATATCTTCACAAACGCCTATGAGATCTTCTATGCCACTTCTTGGCATAAAAGCTTCTCCCTTTGCAAGGCTAGTGAGCCACTGCCACTAACCTGTCCTAAGGATCCACTTCTGCCAAGATGCCTCCATGATGAGATATAAATTACCAACCAATTCCCATATGTTGGGTATATATTTGTAGCCAGTGTGAGGCCTAGCACTCAATTTAATGCCATATCTCTGTCTCTTTTTTGCCTGTAATATGATAACGTTTGAAGACTATGTTCAACCAATTCCAAAATCCCTTGGAAAGTTCTAGGTATCAGTGAAAGGAACCATATCAGTCATGGAAAAAATGTAAAGTTGCAACACTAGACAATTCTGTTGTCTTGCCCATTTGTTGCTACAGGGAAGGAAACAATATGACATCACAGGAGTCTCCACCAGTCACCCTCCTTCTAATTTAATTGAATATTTCAATAGCATTGGGAGAAATTAGTCAGGAAATGAGATAGCAAGTCAGGACTAACATGCTTTGATATAGTTGGAGTGGCACAGAGGTTCAGGGGAAGAGGAGCAGGGGCTCCAATATTGGATGAACCATAGGCACCAACTTTTATTTTTGCCAGGGGGGAGCCTAAAATGATCGACATGTGGACTGTTTTACGCATTTCAGGTGACAGCCCTCTTCCCAAGATAGGCCAGGGCCCTCAGGCCCCCATGTACTTGGCACCTCTGGACAGGAGTAAGGCTGCTAAGTACAGTGCCTCTCTCCCTACTATACCTGACTCAAGCAAATCATGGTACCTTTGCCTACTCAAAAATTACTTAGTTCACGTAAATAAGGGGGTGGATGTTTACTGGAGACAGCATTTTAGGGTTAAAGGTTAAGGTTAAGTATACTGGAGGAAGGAAGGCAGTGAGGACCGGCTCTTATCTCTGATATTATTGCTCAAGTTCTTCTGCAAGCAGGAACCAGATGGGCACTAAGGGTATGTCCCCACAAGCAGGAATGTGTATTCCCTGGGGACAACTAGCAGCAGAACATATTTATGCCACTGCTGGTTGTCCCTGGGGAACACCCCTTCATGGGCACTCTGGGCCATGGCAAGTTACCTCAGATGGGGCAGGGTAGGCTGGGGCCAGCACCAGGGCTGGCCCCAGCAGCCTTACACAGGGTCCTTGGGGCCTCCTGGGGTTCTGGCAGCGGTGATTAAGGTACACGGAACCTGGCCAGAAGCCTGAGCATGGCTCTGGCTGGCCAAGCTCCAATTTCAGATGGCACACAATGCTGCATCAGACTGCTTTTTTCTGGCACAGGTTTTTTTTGACACTGGGATCTCCCGGTGTCAAAAAACCCTGTCATGCTGCAAATTAGCAAGGCAGTGAACACCTGGATGTGTGGCATGTGTGGTTTGTGGTGCCACAGACAAATCTGTGGTCCTGCAAACCACATGTATGCACTCATCTGGATTTGACCAACTTGGTCTAATAAAAGATATCAGATTCACCCAAAGAACATTGTCTGCCTAGCTCTTCTAACAGCACATAATAAGGGTATGACACCCAAGAAGTGCTGGGAGAGGATGAAGTTTTATTTCCTGGCTCATTAGATTTCATAGATTTCATAGACATTAGGGCTAGAAGGGACCTCGGAAGATCATCAAGTCCAGCCCCCCGCCCAAGGGGCAGGAAGTCAGCTGGGGTCATAGGATCCCAGCAAGATAAGCATCCAATTTGCTCTTGAAGGTGTTCAGTGTAGGTGCTTGAACCACCTCCGATGGCAGACTGTTCCAGACCTTGGGGGCTCGGACAGTAAAGAATTTCTTCCTTACGTCCAGCCTGAAATGGTCTTGTAGTAGTTTATGATCATTCGACCTCATCATCCCTTGGGGTGCTCTGGTGAACAAACGTTCCCCCAGATCCTGGTGGTCACCCGTGATAAACTTATAAGTGGCCATCAGATCACCCCTGAGCCTGTGCTTTTCCAGGCTAAAGAGCCCCATGGCTCTCAGCCTGTCATCGTAAGGTCTGTTTTCCTGACCTCTGATCATGCGCGTGGCTCTGGACTCTCTCAAGCTTCTCCACATCCTTTTTGAATTGTGGAGCCCAAAACTGGATGCAGTACTCCAGCTGCAGCCTCACTAAGGCTGAGTACAAGGGGAGAATGACATCCTGGGATTTTCTTGAGAAGCATCTATGGATGCATTTTGGTCGCTTTACTAGCCGCAGCATCACATTGCAGGCTCACGTTCATCTTGAGGTCAATGATGACCTCCAAGTCTCTTTCTTTCATAGTGCTAGCCAGCATAGCACTGCCAAGCCTATAAGGATGCTGCAGGTTTTTCTTTTCAAGGTGGAAAACCTTGCATTTTTCAGTGTTAAACACCATCACGTTTTCATCCACCCATTTGCTGAGCCTGTCCAGGTCAGCCTGGATCACCCTCCTGTCTTCTGGTGTGGACGCTTTGCCCCAAAGCTTGGTGTCATCGGCGAACTTCGCCAGTCCACTCCTGACTCCAATGTCCACATCATTAATGAAGATGTTGAACAATATGGGTCCAAGGACAGAGCCTTGGGAGACCCCACTGGTCACAGGACACCATGATGATTGACTTCCATCAATTCCTACCCTCTGGGTCCGTCCATGGAGCCAATTTCCCAATTAGATGACATGGAATTACAAAAAGATATTTTGGACGCGGTGGAAAATGCTGCACATGGGAAGCTGCACAATTAGCAGGTGATTTAGCAAAGAGTAAAGGTAAAAAATGCATGAAGAGTTCATTTCAAATAGGCCCAGGCTGTTTCATATGAAGTGCAGTAGGACCCATAGTAATCCAGCAGGCAATATCAAGTGGAGATGCACTGAACAACCATTAACAGAAACAAGCAGGGTTTCTGCAGGACCTATAAAAAGTCTAGTTGTGAGCTCCCCCTGCTGACCCTACAGCACCAGTTCACTAGCAGCTTACCAAACAGCCATTTTGTTTCAAGCTGGACTGATACAATAACTAAGTATCTGTCTGCCAAATAAGAAGGAACAAAACAGTGCTTAGTGAAAGATTGAAATGTCCAACTGTCTGAAGGGAAATCAACAAACAATGGAAAGTAACATAAAAACATAAACATGAAAGACTGTTATTTAAAACCAGTTGACAGTCATTTCCAATAGAATCTGGCAGGCTCTATCCAGCATTTAATTCAAAAATTCCTCAGGAATGAAGGTCTTTTGCAGTTTAACTTGGCTGCAGCTGGCATTTGGTTTTTCCCACATCCCGCTTGCTGAAGTTTGAGGTTGGTGGCAGGGAGCCTGATTCCTCTGTCTCTTCCTGTGACTGATGCATCCAGCCAGCATCTTCTCTTTTAAAGTTGCCTGCTAAAATGGTTGATTGTGAGAGAAGCTGAAGTGGGAAGCATATCAGACAGTAAAATCTCCCCTGCTATCTAAAACACAAGTGAGGATACAGGCTGAAGGGAGATGTCAAGAAGGAGCCGAGAAGAAAAACAGAGGATTGGGGTGTTTTAAGAAACCAGGATGGGCAATGCTCAGTTCTGTATCAATAACAGCTTCACTGTCCAGTAGCTCATTACCCAGGACGGCTAAAAATTGGGGGCTTTGCCTCACTAGGGAGGAAGAATAGCCAGAAGAATGACATAAGACATTTGCTTCTAGATTAAAACAGGGAGGCTTCTAGAGTGAAGCCTGTGTAAAGATGTGACATGTTTAGACGAGTTTTTTAAAGCCCTTAGTAAAATGCCTCAGATATTTCTCTCTCTAATGTCTGTAGAGCTGAACTGATGATACCAGGAGAATCTGGGTTTAAAAAAATTAGTCCCCTTGAAAATATTCTGTAATGCACATGGCATATACAGAATATACAGTAGGCTGACAGTGTTTAAAGACTTTAGAAGCCAAGTCCTAGACTCATACTAATAAATAAAACTTGTACATCTCACCCATCTCTAAGGTACCCTTGTACATCTCACCCATCTCACCCTTTTTCTATTTTTCAGCGCATTCAGTCTTAAGCTTGCCAGAGCTCTGGTATTGTGTCTGGCTGGCTCCTGCAGGAGGAGGTGGGGGGCTGATACTGCAACTCCAGATGTGCTATTTCTATTCTTCTAACTGTTCATCAGAAAAACAAAAAGGCTTGTGTTGCTATGGAGACAGTATCTCTGGCACTGAGGTACCCAGTGGGCGGCAGCAGTTTCTGAGCTGTGGAAACAGCCTGAGGCCTGGTGCTTGTATGTTCTGGATGCTGCTGAAGTTTCTAGAGAAAGAAGACTGAACCTGTCTGGTGAGCATTGCTTTTCCAAGATGCTCAAGGAAGAAGGTAGGGGATACATGGCTCATGTGATTTTATTCCTGAGAGGATACTTCAAGGTAAGACTAATTGATAGACACCTGAAGAAACAATGAAATGCTCAGAGAGTTAGTGCACAAAAAGCCCTATACCAAACACAGCTTTGGAGTCTGTGTTCAAGAACAAAATCCAAGATGGCAGACTCAGCTTCTCTAAGATGGCAGCACAGTTACAGGATTAAAATATATGCACTGGGAGGTAGAACAAGGATAAGGGAATTAGGGAAGGGAAAAGGTAAGGAAAACTTCAGTGAGAACTGTCTGGGGAACAGTCTTCTCAAGAAAGTGATGTAAGCTGTATCAGCTGTGTCACATAAAACTAGGCTTGGCAAGTATACAAGTCAATGTGCTTTCCCTAGGGAACAATTCTGCACAGTACATATGATCTATTAGGGGTCTCTAGATTTTAGGGATCTATTAGGGATCTCTAGATTTTAGGATTGCATGAGAATACATTTTGCATTCCTTCTGTAAGTGAAAAGAAACAGGACCTGTCACACATGAGTTATAAACAGGACCTGCGTAATGCAGAAGGAATACTTAGCTGACCATAATGTATAAATATGTGACCAGAGTATGACCAGATTGGAGGAAAATATTGGTCCATTAAATTGTCTCTCTAAGAAGTCTCCTAAATGATGCTCCAGTGGATGCTGCGACAAATAGCGATCTACCTATCTTTTCCTGCTGCACATCAGAAAAATATTCCTTCCCGAAACCTGGGGTTGTGAGTGACTCTAAGCTAGCAAACATCTACCTGCATTACCTCCTATAATGTATTCAAAACAGTGGCATCCAAGCACCAATATCTGGCTGCTATTACCTCCCCAGGCAAAACTGCCAATGTTACTACAGATCAGAACATTATCCAGACCTTTTTTAAAATCCAGATCTAATCGAAAACTAATCTTGGTGCAAGAGGGGTGCATATTAGCTAAAGTTATGGGAATCAGCAGAATTTGGCTCTTTGACTCAGCCATGGGACAGAAATTCACAAAACAAACAGAGCAGACACCATCTGCCAAGACTAGGCTCTGAATTTTCTAGAGGAAGCAAGTTTTTGGGTTAGCACCTGGCACTCTTAGTAATGTGCTGCCCAAACCGTGTTCTGCTCCCAGGAACATGGGGATAGCTCTGGAGTATTACCCATTCCTTTCTATGTTTCTCTGCCCCAAAGCAGTTTTGCTTCATTGCTGATGAAGAAACTGAGAAAGGCTGTTGACAGGAAGAAGCCCTATTAGCAGAGACACCCTCCTGGAGGTGGTTAGGAAGAGACATTAGGCTGCTGTCTAAACTATGCACCAGTCCAGCTGGCCACAGCTTATTTCTCTTGACATCTGCTTTCTGAGGTATTGCCATCCATATTAGATTCCGTCAAAAGCCATTTTGCCACCAAGCTGTGCAGCTTACTGGAACGCTCCTTGCTGCAGAGCTCGCCATAGCTCATGTCCTGCAGAGGCAACATGTGTCCCCACAGCCAAGGCCTATGGGCAACACCTGTGTTTATTGCAGAGCATTACAGCTCTCTCCCCTTGTAGAGAAAAGTAAGAGAGATTCCTTATTAACTGCTTGAAATGGGACAACTTAGAAACTGCTTAAAACAGTATAAGAGAACTGGAAAGTAGATGATTCCTAGACCTTCTGCTCAGCCACCCTACTTCAGCTGAAGATATCATCAAAGGTCACAAACTCAGCAAAGCTCAGATATTGACAACAGCTGGACTGGAGATGCAAGGGAAAACCCAAGCGCTGCAGGATGCAGTGTCGTTGATGGCTTAATAAGAGATGAGCACTGAGAATCGCTGTAAGTGGGTCCTGAACCCGATACACCAGTACTGTGGTAGCCCTGTGGTAGACAAATGCTGTGTTGCTAGACCTTCCATCTGTTGCATAAGAACTACAGACCTTCTTCTGATTCTTAAAGCTTCCCCACCACTTTCCAAAAGCTGAGTCAGATGTGCCATGCAAATTCCAATTCAGCCATTTCCATTCTGCTTCCCCAAATTCTCTGTGTTGTTTTAGACAGATACAGTATTCTTTTTCTAAACTAGAGCACAGTGCTGCCACACACCATTAAACAGTTTCCCTGTTCCATGCCAGAAATAGCTGTGTCTAGTGGGCGCAGGGTAAAGGGATCCCTGTATAAATAGTTTCTAAATTGCTTTGGGATCTTTGAGATGAAAACGTCATCTAAACATATGGTTTGAGTTTGTTCTCTGGTGATGAGAGGGAGTAATAGGGAGTAACGTACCATGTGGTCAGTGTGGCTGCTTTGTAAGGAGTTGGTAGGTAAAGGAGTTTCTGTCTCACCACAATATCCTCCGAAGAGCTTCACATTACTCTTCCCTCTGCTCCGTAAATGTAGATGAAGTGAAAGGTGCTACAGTATTCTGGCGCAATAAGGAAACAAGATGTTTCATTATCACTGTTAGGTTTGTTTTACACTGTAATGTACAACAGACATCCTTTTAAAACAGGAAAACAATCTCACCTGGCCTAGCCTGGGAACCCTCAGTCTCCCAAGTCTCTCTCCCTCCTGAGTCAGCTGGAGGGATAACAAGGGAAGCCAGTTGGGTTTGGAGTCTCGAGTGCTGGTAAGCCACAGGGAGAGGAACAATAGTTGGCACTTGTGCTTTGGGAGACTTGTAGGCATAGGGAGCCAATGAGAGTTGTACCTACTTACCCAGGGCTGGATTTAGCTCAGAGGCAGCATATGAGTTTAGACCAAGGTCCTTCTCAGGGTGCAGACACATTGTAGTCCTCCCCTCATCCCATGGATCCCAGTGCAGACAGGAGGAGTTAAGACTGAGGAAAACACAGCTTCACTAACTGCTTTGTCAAAATAAAGAGACTAATGATATGGGGGAAGTGAGGGGAGGTGAAAGGTGGGAGGGAGATAGGAAAAAGGAGAGGGAAGGAGGGGATCCTCTCCAGCCCTGCTTACAAGGTGCTGGATAATTCATGGCTCTTGTTTACACTGCTTCAGACCACATCACAGACATTCCAGGCTAATGGGTTCCATCTGCGGGAGCCACATGCTCCACACCCCTCCTCTGTGCCTGCGTGCCTGCCAGCAGACCAGCGTCTCCCTCCAGGCCTTTTCACCAACCCACCACCGGCCCTGTGCTGTTCCCACAGCAAGGGCTTGATATAAGCCTGCTCACAGGTTCCCCAAGACTCACCTTCTGTGCCTCACAATCTCAAGGGGCATCTCAACTAAATGTCCGTGCACCCTGCTCCCCACAAGCAAGTGTAGGGCCCAAATTTCTGGATGAACCCACCCACAAAGAATGTTCATTTGGATGGTGTTTGCATGTGGAAGCCAAGAGCTGGAATTGAGTGAAGTGCTGCAGGGCAGGGCTGCGTGTCTCAGAGAGGATTGAGGGGATCCAGGACAAGAATATCAGGGGCTACAAATGAGGAACACTAACTGAAATGTGAGGGGGCCAGAATGGAAATAGCTGGGGGCCACAGCACGGGGGCAAGGTGTACTGGTTGGGTTCGCTATGGGCCTCAGGAGAGGAACAGTGCAGGTGCAACGGTAGAACGGAGGTAGAGGGAGGGGGCAGTGGTAAGACTGGAACAGCAACGTAAGGCTATAGGCCAAAACTGAAATGAACCTTTGTAAACTGTAACAGGTAACTGAGCCCAAATATAAAAGCCATCCTCCTACAAAGAGATGGCTGACAATAGCTAGTGACATGCTGAGGCCCAGGCTAAGGGGGCTGGAGGCCTTTGGAAAGTGAACATTCCCAGCTCCCTCCCTAGAGAGGCCACTTTCCAGATTGCACAAACCCTATCATCTTCCTTTGCCTATCTGTATCTGGCTCACAACCCAGCAATCCCTTAACAGTGACTGCAAGCTACATTATAGAAGGAACCTCCAAAGAGGACTATGGTTCTGGTATCTCACAGGCAAGAGTTTCTTGGAATGCAAATTTCCAGGTGAGGTACATGAAGGGAGATACTGCTTTGCATACACACTTTCCAAGGGCATGGTGGTTATGTGAGAAGCTATCAAAATAGCTCCAGCAGTTATGCCCCAAACAATGGGATTGAAAGGACACAGTATTACAGGAGACACTTCAGGTACTTTGACTTCTGTAGCCATTTATGGACAGGCCCAAACAGCTATACAGATTTCTAGGCTAGTCTAGCGCCACAGAGCTAATACAGTAGCCAGCGTTGTCTCAGGTGGCAGCCCCAGTTTCCCCCAGTGCTTCCAATCCAACCAAGAATTTGGGCATAAAGCCTGTACCTATATATGCTCTATCCAACCAGTGCATCTTCCCATGGCTGAATAGTTGAGTTCACCTGCTGTGTGCGTACATGTGTGATGGTGGAGAATGAGTCTCTGTGCACACACCTCTGCTGTCTGAACTTTCGTTTCTCCTGCTGGCCGCCCTGGGGATTCTGCAACCCTCAGGTCAGTGTGGACCTGCAGTCAAATCCAGCCAGGAGGATTTTCTGCCTGCAGTTCAGAGCAAGTATGTCACCAGAAAGAATGTGCCTGGTCTGGCAGAAATCCTAGTGGTTACAGCATTCTCCCAACAGGAACCCAGAAGGTGCTTGGTGTTTGCTACTGTTGAATAGTATATCCTAGTCCATAGCCACCCTAAGCATTTTAGGTCTCTTCCTTTCCCACCAACCAGGAAAGCTGGTGCATTTGGAGGGAGCTGAATGAATTGGGAAGATATTTACATTTGTTTTGCTGGAGCTGGGCAAAACCACCTCAGAGCAGTGGGGGGGGGGGGG